GAGCAGTTGACTCCTACCACCTTCAAGCCTTCCGCATGTCTGGTTTGGGATCTCGTATTCTTAACCAACCCAGGACAGTGCATGTGTCCCAGAATAAGCTGAACGTTCTTCCGACTAACTCAGTAGAGATTCAGTCGCCCAACTGCGAAGTAGAGCCGTCCAGCCCCGCCACACAAGTAGCAAGCCAAGGAGAGAAATTAAGCCCCGAAGAACAGCAGCGTTCCGCCGATGAAACAGCAAAAGAAGTGAACCGCCTCCTTAGCTGCCACAGGGTCGTCAGCGCTTGCAACGTATTCGGCGAAGACCTCACTATTTTTGTGACTATACGTTGGACTGAATATTTGCCCGGCCGTTCTTATTCTTGTTCAAGTAATTGTGAATTTGGCTTCACGCAAAATAAGGGACTCGGTTTTAAAGATACGGCGGGGAGTGAGTGTGTTCGTCTCTTTCCTTTTATTTTGCGTACTTTTGAACCCTTTCCATTCCAGGGTCAACCATTTACCTTTATTTGAGGTTAGCTGTGAAAGTGACTGCGTTTGAATGTTAGACTTTATTTTGCATATTTTTGATGTTAGCTATAGCCTTGTCCTTTTGGTGGTAAACTTTTGCGTTTTTTTTTAAATATTAGTTGATAGCCATTTCCTTCTGCGTTCTTTTCGTTTTATTTTGCCGTACACAAGCCGTTCGTTGCTTTTGCTCTAAACCAAGAGACTTTGTCTTTTCAGGCTACGATGGGATGTGAGGACGTGGTATCCTCCGTCCCCTTTTCTTCTTTCAATTACCTTTGGCGCTCCCCAAGTGAGCGTGCCTGGTGACGGAAGATAAAGAAGCCGCCCTCGTGCCCGGCCCGGACGGCTCTTGCGTTCCTGTCTGGTGCTGCCGTGAGCTTGTTGAGCCTCCAGCCAGTCAAACCAGCCACCACCAACTCGCTCTTAGCCCTACTACTTAACCTGTGTCTTTGATGTAAATATACTTTCTCAGTCCCTTTCCAAGACTTGGCCGTCATGCCTTACAGAATACCTTTATTTATTTTTTTCCGTCCCAATCTGGCGTCCTCGACAGGAATCTTTCTTTTTAACATCTTAGAGCTTGAGTATGCGGGAATAGAACTCCGCGAGTGGGTCGGAAACGAAATAGTCTGACAAAAAGAACGGTTCAGAATGAGAGAAGATGCAAGAGAGGCAGCTAAGGGGGCGCAAGAGATGGCTGACAAAGAACCTCCTAGATTCCAACAAGAAAAGGTAGCGCAGTAGCTGCGTCTTCAGTTGCTAGGAAACAACAGTTCAGGTCGAGATGAAAATCTGCAGGATAGTGGCAGTGGAGAAAAAACAAGGAGGCAAACAAGTTATTGTAGCCCTCATAAATTAATCCCACCGTTAATTGACAAAAGGCACGACCTAGATGCTTACATCCGTCGTTTCGAACGAGTGGCGACCCGTCAGGACTGGCCCCAAAGAAGTGGGCGGTGTCTTTAAGCTTGTGTCTCACCGGACAGGCCTTAACTGTCGTTGGCAGGTTGACACCTGAAGAGCTTTTGGATTATTCAAAAGTAAAGCTTGATCTGCTTCAGCGGTTCCGCTACACAGCAGAAGGTTACCGGGAAACATTTGGCCGGGCAAGCCAGTAGAGGCAGAGGCCGGTAGACAATTCGCAGGTTGGGTCCTCGGCTCTTTTGACTGATGGCCTAAAACGGGTGATACTAATAAGATATTCGAAGGGCTCAGAGATCGCATGATCGCAGTGCAGTTCTTAAAAAAAACTTTCAGCCTTTCCACCCTGGAGAAGAAGGCAGACCAGCGGAGCTGTACAATGGAAAGTAATGGCCGGCCGCAAGTTGGTCAGCCAGGGTGGAAAGGCTGCCCCATCTATGAGCGACGGCGACAACCAGATACGTGGCTTGCCGCCGTCGCTCATAGATGGCGGTAGGCGTCCAGAGCTCGGTGTCTTCATTTCTTTGCGGGGGACACGATCCTGGAGAAACTAGACCTGAACAGCTCCGCTGTAAAGATGTAGCACAAGGCTGCCTATATTTCGGAGGGAAAGAGACTGCAAGACCCTCGTGAGTTTGGCGGTAACTGCGGACCACTTTTTGGAAGCACAGGGCAAAACTAGCTTGACTAACTCGAGAGAAGAGGACCTAATTCATAAGAGTGGAGGTCGTAATAAAGAGGGTAGTAGGCCGAAGGTTCGTACCAAGGGATCGAGTGAGTCGATGCTCTCTCCGCAACAAGTCGACATAAAGCCGCAGAATGCTGGACCAGTTTTAATGCTCAACACGTATCTGCGTGCTGGAGGTGCGGCAAGCCATGAAACAAATCAGATATGAGTAAATGGAAGCCAGAAGATAAAAGTAGCAAGACTCCTCAGGCATCCTGTATGTTGACAATCGCTGACAGCGAAAATCCAGAAGAGACATACATCGTACTGAGAAACGGAGAACAGATACCGATAGTAAATGCGGCACTCAGAAAAGGCTCCACGGCTTCTCGTAGACAATACGCCAGAGGTGAGAGAAGAAGTGGGTCGTGGACCGGTCACCGTACTGAGATACAGTGGCTGCAACCCTGTTGTTGTAAAAAGGGGTCTGGTTCTAGATTATAAGTCAACTGGTATCTTTGGTCCGGTTTTCATTCTTGATAGGACTGTCACGTATCTGACAGAGGCAGAGATCGAGGTGAGAACTTCCTATTTTACGGGCAGTCTAACAGCCAAGTTCAGAAATAACCCGCTGTACGATTTGGTGTTATGAAATGCTCATGGGGTGAGAGGAATCGATAATCCCGATGAAGAGTGAAATGACGAGGGAAGACTTAGGGGGTCGCTTAACTGAAGGAAGAGAGACAGATGTCCAAAGAAAGTGAGACTGCCGAAGGACTCGTATTTAATGAGAAAATAATAGACGGCTGTGAAGTCTTGGAGCCCGAGATTAATTCTGCAGGAGCGCTGGAGATGGTAGCCGGCAAGATGAAACACTCCAAGCTACCAGTTATGAAGCTCGAGCCCACGGGAATTGACCACAAGTAGAAACTGTCTCAGTGTAATGACCAATCACTGAAGAAATGCTTTTGTGCCGTCGGCAGAACATACATCTCGGGAAAACCACAAGAGTCTCAATACGTGTTGCATAACGAAATCCTCCACAGGAGGTACAAGACGCCGGTACACAAGCATTGGGAAAAACTGGTTTTTCCAATAGATTTCTGAACAATAGTACCGAAATTGGCACGTGAAGGAATCATGTCGCGCCACCAGGTAACAAAGGAAACCACCGATCGTATCCAAGAAAAAGTTCGGCGCCATGTTGCACGGCTGAATGTCTGGAGGTTGGTGAGATGCAGACCAGACCGAATGGCTACGGACGGCGACAACCGCGTGCAGACCAGGTTCGTAGCGAACTCGGCGAAGCCCGAAAAATTGTTGGATCACGGTCTGAAACGCGAGAAGCGCCACTAGCCTCGGAGCAAAGAGCACAGGAAACGCTTAATAATAATAATAAAAAAGAAGCGGTCCCGGCCTAGCAGCAAAGAAAAGAAGAACCAAGATAAGGGGCACGGCAAAGAACAGGCGTAAGAACAAAGACCGTCCCTCAAGGACAAGGAAGCCAAGAGAGGTCGAAAGACGGGAACGAGAAGAGGAAGAAGCGGCAGCAGTTCTTCGAGCATGCTAAGCGCAGCGCAGATGACATTCCGGCCCGGATGCTGTAAGCGGCCGATCTGGGAGAAGCGGGAGCGGGAGGGGGAACGCTTCCCGGACTAACGGGATAACGACGACAGGAACGAGGCACGGGAGCACAACGAGAAGGAAAAGGAGTTCGAGGCCATTAAGGCGCACTACCTGGGGATCCTCAGGAAGAAGAGGCAGGTGCGGCGTTGCAACCACAAAAAGTTTATCTTCAACTGCTATGCGTCGGAGAACACGGCTCCGCACTACAACCCGATTTAAAAGGACAAGCACACGGCAAAAATCTATGGCAGGGGGCACTTTGCGGGCATCAACCTCAAGGCCCAAAAGAAGGAGCGTTCCAAGTTCTACGGCGTGCAGCTTAAGGGCAGGTGGATGCAGGCCGAGAAGAACCAGGAAGTTTTGCGGCTGAAGAAGGTTATACGGGAGGAAGGAAGGGAGAGAGGGTTCGAGCTACTGAAGAAGTTCCTCTTCGATAAACCAAATCTCCAGATCTGTCGAAGGAGTTCATTTTAAGAACAAACGCGTCGGAAAGCTGTCTGCGCCGTACTAAGGCAAGAACACGAAGGGGTCTTATACCCTAGTTACACGGGCGCTTTCAACTGCCATTGAGTCAACTGTCGTTGACTCAATCGCGATCGGCCGGAGTTACACGGCGGCGCCAACTGTCATCGAACCGCTAATGACAGTTGAGTTCAACTGAGCTCCCCTACCTCAGTTCAACTGAACGGACTTCCCCAACTGAGGTAAAATGGCGCCTGTCCGCGGGACCGCTGCCGCCAACCATCGTTTCCGAGGCACTTACTGTTTCGGAATGCAGGGGGAGGCGTCTAGAAAGAATCGTAGCAGCAAAATATCCGGGAAGGAATAGCTTTAGGCGTCCGAGCTGCCGCTAAAACGATCCCGGCTAGCCGGCAAGCCACCAAACGAGCGAAGATGGCGGCGGGGCCAGCTGTGTGAATGGACAGATAGTAATGGGTGCACCCATCATAGCGGGTTGTAGCTAGCTCCACCTAGCCTAAAATATGCGCAACTTAGCCTTGCATTTGCTTTGGTACTGATGTAAACGCCGCTAAAAAGCAACAAGGTATTGAACATGATGTACGATATACTTATAGTAAATAAAATATGTTTCTCCGAGTAGATTACTTTAACAATTAGACTGATCACGAGGCACAATAACTAGTTTCGTTTTAGCTTCAACTGGGTTCTAGAGAGCCGTGTAGCACTATCTCAGTTCAGTTCAGTTCAATCACAGTTGGGGCCGATAACTGTGATTGAACTCAATGGCAGTTGAGAGCGCCCGTGTAACTAGGGTATTACATTTTGTTGCGTATCCAAGCCGGAAGTTGCCACGACAAGTCGCCTATTTCACCATTGAGCGTGAAAGCGTTGCCCTCGTGTGGGCAGTGCGAAAATTTCGCATCTTCTTGTTTGGCAAACGCTTCACTGTTCAGAGCGAACACCAGCCGCTTGAATACATTCACTCTGCGAGACATCTGAATAGTCATGTATTTAGATGGGGTTTATTACTCGCCGAGTACGATTTTAAAGTGACGTACATGAAGGGCCGCCAGAACGTGTGAGCTGACTATTTTAGTCGTATTTTATCCGCCGGCAGCATTTACGGGTTTTTGGGGAGTAATAGTTTATCTACGCATGAAACACGCTTCGTCCACGTCGTGTTTGTGGGTAAATCTGTTTTTTTTTTTTCATCTACAGAAGCCTTACTTATTTTGCTTTAAAATTTTGGTAAACAATTGCCTTGAGAGGGGCGTAATTGTGATGATGTGGGGGAACCAAGGATGATAAGAACGACGCACGTGAAAGCTGTGATTTTGACTGAGCGTAGGACGAGAAAGAAGACACAGTTAACGTGGTGAAGATGTGAATAACTATAAGATGAGGACTGCAAGGCAAGGGCAAGAAATGGATATAATGGAGAAACGAAGACGACGCAGTGATGAGAGGAAGATGACACCCGCTCATGAGACGTGAGGGAATGGCGGGCACGACACGGAACCCGGCTCGACAGCGGTGGTCCCGGTAGCCAAGGAAGAGCCCGGACGGACGAGTCCAGGACCGAGAGGCTTTTACCCAAGAGTGCTGTGAAACATTCGCCTGTCCCAAGCTGGCCTGCCAAGCATTTCCGGGACAGGACAAACTCCATGCCAGCGCCGACGTGCAACACCGTGCCGTAAGCGGAGTCGTCGAACTGAACTTTGTATATATGTCTACGACGTTTTGTTTCCAACTTCTTTTCCTTGCAACTGTAAATATAAACTTCCTTCTTATATTCACCACTCTGGAATACCGAGTCCCTTTATTTATTTATTTTTTCCATCCCAACCAGCTTTTTGGGTCCTTTATAAAGAGACAGTTAAGTTCTAGTGTTTGTTGTTGCCGCAGATGGGATTATGGCAATCTCAGATTCCGTCTTGGCTGAAAGATAACGTAGAGAAGCACAGAGACACACAAGGGGTAGCTAAGCCCGGCACGGGGGTATCAAGGCGAGTTCTCCGCCGAACTCGGCGCCCGCCGCAATTGGTCGGCGTCGCGCCTGACGACACGCGCCGTCACTCCCTAGGTGGTGACGTCGCAACGGAGGTTTTGAGGCGGTCGGAGAGTGGCATATACGGAACTCGCGAAGAGATGCTGTCACGTCATTGTGACGCGGCAAAAGCCGCCGCGGATGGGAAAAACTCGCCGGCTTCGACCTAGGCGAGTTTGGGCTAGTAGGGAGCGAGATGAGGGAGAAGCGTCCAAAATGGCAGCGTTTTTGTTCGTGTTTCACCGTCGGCGTAGGTATTTAAGACACGCCAATGTGTTTGGCATGGACGACGTTTATTCTCAGCAACACTATCGCCCCTCGAAAGATGTGGTAAGGTGGATGTGCGATGAACTGCGTGGCGAACCGGGCTTGAGGCGATGGAGCTGTGAATAGACCTTCGTTCCCGTCGTGAATCCCACAAACGAATCCTACAATGTGAATCCTAGAAGCAATAGTGTTTTTACGGCAATCTGCAACCAGGAACGCAATTTATCATTACCTATAGGCTTTTATAATTATTTTGATGGTTTGCTGCGCCGCGTAGATGCAAGAAAAACGCACTTGATAAAATTTAAGCTAAAACAGAGGATAGAAGAAAACAAGTATACATGAATGGCGCAGACTAACAACTCTGTAATTTCTTTCTCATCTTTCTCCCTCCACACCGTATTTTGACAAACAAATTGGTCGTCAGTCGTTTATACAGCAGGAGTTTAGTCCGCCAGAACATGGCGACATTGTTACCTGTAGCTAAGCAATTTATCCAGTGCAGTACGACTGCTAGCCTGGGGTCTTTAACGTGCACCACGCAGGAGTAAAACACGACCACACGCCGATGCGATGCTCATCCAGCTCGACATGGGCAGGGGTGGAATTGAACCCAGAATCCTGGGTTCTGCAGCGCGAGTTTTCGTTCCACGTGCATCCCCGCGCACCGCCAAGTTTCCAGGAATCCTCCATCGTCTCCGAAGTTCCTGACGCGCACGGGAATTGTTTCTCGGCACCTCGCTCGGCGGGGGAATCCGCGTATTCCCCGCGTCTGAACTGCCCTTCTCGAGACTCGGGTTACTTCTTAAGCCATAAGCGGCAGACAGCAACGTCTGTAATCTCGATCCTCATAAACATAGCTTACCCCGATCTCTTTCTATCCTGTCCAAAATACATAAAGCACCAAAATAAATACATACCAAGTGGTCATTATACTTACGGCGATGACAAACAAGAGTGGAAGTGCTATTTACGGTGCGAGAAACTGCCAATAACTTTGATCACGCAAAAAATACAGGTCCCTTTGAAACACACCACGTACAACTTGTGGGCAACCTGGCGATTCCAAGAGGTTGGCCTAGGCTGCCCCTCCGACAATCAAAAGTGGTCATCTTGACCACGAGGGGGCCAAGGGCAACTGGCCACGCGAGCGGCGCTACGCCGCTGGTAAAAGGCCGTCGCAGCGGATGCGTGGGGGCTGTTGGGATCGCGGCGCAGGCGATAGCGATCATTAAATGTTTACGTGTTGTTGACCCGGTGTGCTCTGTCATTCTCCGAGACGGGTAGCAGCAAGGGAAATCCCACATTGGCGCCCAACGTGATATGCTGCTCGTCTGGGAGGATGGCAGCAAACTGGGTTCGTTCCAGACATGTACAAATTACTCAAAAAAGGTAGTTAAGTTAAGTTACTGAGTATCGACGCCAAAAGTAATTGGAGTAGAGTAGAAATTACGCATTTGTAATAGTAATTGAGTAAACTACTAACTACTCTAAAAAGTAGCGAGTTACTTTGAAGTTACTTTCGAAGTTACTTTTTTATATTTTTGTGGTAGCGAAACGAACAACAATTTTGATCAATGAAAAACCCTGCGAGCCTAAAATAAATGCAGTCTATTTATAGCTTGCGTTTGCGCCAAAATAATTTATTCGCTCGCAGAAGCAATTGACTTTCAAAGTTCTTGATAGGAGAGTTTTCCCTTTTTCCTTCTAAAGACGTCCCCAGCCAAGCTAAAAAGACGTTCCACCGAGGGGCTGGATGGAACGGCAGCATTGAATTTGAGAAACAGGCTGGTGCAGGGTCGGGTAAGCGAGTGTCGGCATCTTAGGTGTCCATGACAAAACATGTGAGGTTTGCCTCGGGTAGAGGGTCTTTTATAACAAACTTTCCTACTTTTTCTTTTTTCTTCGTCAAGTTGAGACTGTTATGACTGGCCCCTCTTTATTCCGACGTCGTTCTGAGAGTACGCTGAGCGAGTGCACCAGACCGTCAAGGGTTCAAGTTTCGCGCCACGACGATGAGATCATCAGGACGACTGCGCGTCCCGTTGTAGTGCTAGTGCTACGCTACTGAAAAAAGAAATGTTTTGGTCTAACAGAAGATGAACCGAAGTATACTTCGCCGCTGACGCCGGGTCCAACAAAAGGATCTCCCAAGGGTAACTCGCAATCCTCGCCGGCGACTGCAATATTCTGACGCGCCTGACACGCCTGACAAGTAAATCGTTTTTAACAAAGAGGAGGTCTCCCAGGCATGGATGGTCGGAAGGACACGAAGGATTACGTGAACAAGCATCGTCGCTCGTATACAGTTACAGCTGGAAGCGGGAACGTGCTCCCATGAACGGATTATCCGTGCCAGGGTTTGTGCGCGGGGGAGTCCGGCTTTGCAAAGGCGTATGCGCTGACGACAAGGCGACCATGGGAACAGGCGCCCAGCTGCGAGGTCATTCCAGTGGCGCCTCCCGTGGAACCTACCGCTTGAGTCAGAACTCTCTAAAGACAGACAACAACTCTCGGAGTGTCCCCGTCTTTCACGGTTGCAGCTGGAAACGCGGCGCCTGCGTGCATTACCGGATTAGGTCAATACCCGACCAAGGCTTGTTAAGCATCTCTTCCTGAGTTCGTGCGTGCCGGTGTTATGTTTTGGCTGCTCGTCGCCACCTTGACCCAAGGACGCCTTCCCGAACAAGGGGGCCCCTTGTTAGGAAATGCCACCTCATCTGTCGGTGTCTTATTCATTTCCGCGCTCAAACTTTCGTGATGGGCAAAATTAGCACTATATAATTTCGAAAGTAGTTAGTAATTTGAGTAGAAGTTACCTGAAAAAAAGTAGTTAAATTAAACTACTAATTACCTAAATCAAGTTGTAATTGAAACTTACCAAGTTACTCGAAAAAGTAGTTAAACTACAGTAGTTTGAGTAGAGTAGTTGAACTACGTCCAAGTCTGGTTCGTTCTTACGTTTTACATAGTCAATTTTGCGTTCCTGACTTTGCCCACAATTGAGGGGGCGTTTCTTCGCAAGCCTAAGTTCATCGATCTGCGGAAGGCTCCACTACAACATGATGCCGCCTACAGAGATATCTCGGGATGATTGCGTTTTATAGGGATTTTATTCCGCAATGCGCTGAGATAACTGAACCTCTGAACCGATTGCTCCGTAAAAAAACGAAACGGTGCTGGGGGCAAGAGCAGCAAACCGCATTCGCGTGTCTTTCAAGGGCTGTGTCTGAAAACGAGTGTTTAAACCTGCCCGGCTTGAATCGTCCGTTCATCTCGCAGACCGACGCAAGCGATTACTGATTAGGAGCAGTCCTTCTGCAGGAACATGACAGCGTTCTTCGTCCCGTAGCTTTCGCCAGTCATACGTTAACCGGAGCGGAGCGAAACTACTCAACAGCCGAAAAAGAGTGCCTGGCAATTATTTTTGCGCTTAAGAAGTTTGACATGTACTTTGACGGTGCTTCTTTTAGCATTCAAACTGACCACAAGGCTCTCTCGTGGCTCGAAGGGCTTCAAAACCCTGCAGGACGACTCGCTCGATGGGCCCTTTCGCTCCAGCGCTACAAATACACAATCGAGTACAAGAGTGGAGTGGCTAACCACGTTGCAGATGCGTTGTCCCGTGCCATGCAGGTGGATCCCGACTTGGTGGCACTGGCCAATGCGGTGCCCATCACACCAGAGTCGCGGTGGGGAACCCTGGTGAGCAGAGAGGAGCTCCGAGCGGCGCAGCTGTCCGATAGACTTTGTGAAAAGGTGATGCACCAGCTGGGCAGAAGAAAACTCAGCCGACGCTGGGAATCCCAGAGACTTGGACTCATACCTGCTCAGCAAAGACGGCGTCCTGCTGCGATACATTCCCCAGGCGGACGATGGGTCCAGCGGCCCGCCATTCCGGACTGTAATACCACGTAAACTGCGTAAGTCATTTATAAGATATATGCATGACCCCGCCTTGGCAGGCCACAGCAGTCGGAGCAAAACTTACGAAAAGTTGTCCGAAATTGCAACGTGGCCAGGCATGAGGCAGGATGTGATGAGGTACGCACGCAGCTGCCCGGTTTGTCAGAAGGCAAAACCCCGAGGTGGCCAACCACCAGGTTTAATGCAGTCGGTCGAAAGCATGTACCCCTGGGAGTGTGTTGCCTGCGACGTTGTCGGTCCCTTTCCCCGTAGTCCACGCGGCAATCAGTATTTGCTAGTAGTGACCGACCATTTCACAAAATGGGTCGAAATGTTTCCTTTGCGCAAACTAGACTCTAGGAAAATCTGGGACTGTCTTCTCGAGACGTTCGCGCGCTTTGGCTTTGCCGCAACGCTTATTACAGACAACGCTTCTTATTTTGTTAGCAAGGTGTTCGTGGATGCGTGTATAAGGCGCTAGGCATACAGCACAAACGGACTTCGCCATACCATCCACAGGCGAATATCACGGAAAGAGTGAACCGTAACCTGAAGCAGATGCTTGTATCGCATACAGAGCGACACAAAGACTGGGACGCGAAATTAGCAGAAATGGCATTCGCTACCCGCACAACAATCAACCGGTCCACGGGTTTTACTCCGGCCCAACTTAACTTTGGGAAAGAGCTCGTGTTTCCCCTGAGAAACGGCCTCCTTTGCACAGATCCTGCAAGCATGCAACGCACAACCACGCAGTTCGCAGAAGATCTCCGGAAGCGTTTCACGGAGAACCTGCGTGAAGCTCGAGAGAGCCTCGACGTCTCGAGACTGCAGCAGGCAAACCAGTATAACAAGGGGAGGCGAAATCTGCAGTTCAAGGTAGGAGATCTGGTACTGAGGCGAACTCATTCGCTGAGTGATGCTGCTAGAGGCTTCATGGCCTTTTTAGCAAAGAGGTGGGATGGCCCCTACCGTGTTAGTAGCAAGCTCTCCAACCTGTCTTATGAGCTGGTGCATTGTGAATCTGGTGAAGTGTGCGGGTCTATTCATGTCGCCGACCTAAAAGCTTTCTATGAACCCGAGGAGGTAGATGCGTCGCAGGTTCCAGATGACGACTATCCGGACCACCTCTCGGAAGATTCCGCACCGTCTCTACCGCGGTACAACTTGAGACGGCGGTGAAGACGACCGGGAGTAGCACGAGCTCTAAGTGCATTATGTTCATGCCTCTTCGGTGTTTTGGAGGGGGAGAAGAGAAAGGGTCCGCGCTCCCGCATGCACAACGGGGCAGGCATCTTTCGTGTGGCGGCTACTTATTCCTACCGCGCCATGGCCTCATGTTTTTAATTTCTAGTTCCTCGTGCCAGACAGCGGCGACGCAGCTTCCATCATCAGACCACCCCCCCACAGCTGCATCGGTACTGTCCGGAAGTACTGACGTCGGACCCGTGCTCGCTCATCTGAGAAGACCCTTGCTGACCCAGAAGGAAGGCCCCCCCCCGAAGATCATCTAAGACGTCCTCTGTTTTCGTTTTTGGAAGGGGAGAGATGTGTGGGCAACCTGGCGACTCCAAGCGGTTGGCCCAGGCTGCCCCTCCGACAATCATAAGTGGTCATCTTGACCACGAGGAGGCCAAGGGCAACTGGCCACGCGAGCGGCGCTCCGCCGCTGATAAAAGGCCGTCGCAGCGGATGCGCGGGGGCTGTTGGGATCGCGGCGCAGGCGATAGCGCTCATTAAATGTTTACGTGTTGTTGAACCGGTGTGCTGTGTCATTCTCCGAGACGGGTAGCAGCAAGGGAAATCCCACAAGCTTCGCAACGCTTTCTTGTTTTTGTGAACACTCTGTCGGTCACTCACCCGACAATGGGATGTTCGTAGCCACTAGCCACCTTGAACTTGTCAATTTTGTGCAGCGTTGAGTTGTTGATCCGGAGGGCGTAGCTCATGATTTGCCCGTACCACCACGCGTAGGGGTCCCCGTTATTGGCTACCAATGTCTCCACAATGGCGGACGGCAGATCTTTCATCGGTTTGCGAGATCTTGTTCCTGGAATTCGATATTTTCTATTCATTATTTGTGGTGGAATTTGTATAAGAATTGATACGTTCGAATATCTTTTCAACCCCACAGAAGCTCGCAGTAAAAAAGTAATAAAAGTGACCTAGAAAAGGTTTTAAAGTTTCTTAATATGACGGGTACATGTCCCAAAATAACGAACCTAAAAAAGAAAATCTTCCTCACATTTATATTTAAAGACAAATTTTGAACAAGGAGCGATTTCGAAACGTATTTGTATTTTGGGGTAGGCGTCTCAAAATAGAAGCATGTTTCGAAATCGCTCCTAACACAAAACTTGTTACGCGACATGAAATAGAGATTAGAAGAAAAAAAAAAGCCCGAAAAGGTAGAAAACAATAAAAGCAGAACCCCTGACACGCACCCGGAAACATGTAGATCGATCTCCGTTCCACTGTCGGGGGTACGAACGCTCGCGCATGCGGCCCCCGTGACCGGAAGAAGCGATTTAAGCCAGTCCCGCCCGGGAGCATATTTCTAAATGGTGCTGTCCAAGACGAGTGTCCTTCCTGTTCGTAGGGCCGCCACGAAGCACCAAAGAAGGTCGTGCACAGCAGACGCCAGTCCGTACGGATTCGTGAGTCGACAGAGAAGCTTTGGTGCCGCTGTGCAATTACTGGGAATCTGCCGGAAAAAAAAAAGTCACAGCCCAACAGTTTTTATTTATTCCCATTGTTGCTGTCTATTGAAAAGTAAAAATAATTATATTTTATATGTCTATAAATAGATCAGAACTTACATGGTTTATATGAGGCATTCATTAGTCATTATGCATTTATATGTTCTCATCGGTTTACTGGGGGATTTGATTTATTGCTCAGTCTTTTGCTCGGGAGTGCCAGATGTTCCTTATTAATCGCTCCTAGCGTCCCTTTTGCGCCAATTTTTTACGTAACTACATAAGTATGATTCTACCTAAGTTTCAATTACCACGAACCAGGGAAACCGAAGAAAACAGTCAACACATATTTTGAACTGTACATTGTACTAGGTTCGTTTTATTTTATATTTTTATAAGCTAAAGTGCGAAGAATGACAACATATATATCATATCCTTATTAAAATAGTATGTATACGTTAAAAAAAATTACGCACATGGGCTCTATGCCGGGTTAATTGTAGTACTTAGGTAATTTTCCCCTTTGTACAAAGTTGTTTCTCTAATTGTTAAATGATCAACATGTGTGAAGTGGTTTCAGTTCTTAAAGTTTCGAGAGGTCATATAATACCTGAATATTCGAAATCGTTCCCTGGACGTAGCATTGAAGATGCCATCTTTGCAGAAACATAGTCATTCACTCTCTCCAATCGCTTCAGGACCTCTACGTTGTTTTGAATGACCCTAGACGTGAAAGCAATTTTTTACACCACTCCTGTAGGCAGTATATATTGTTCAGGACATTCATTATGTTTGCATATACTATATATAGTCACTGGCGGCTTCATAAATGCAGGGCATGGCTTTCTGTGTTCACGCTTCTGGCTTTGTGATAGATTCTTCGCTGTTCTTAAAGGCTGATGTCGCGATATCATTGGCTGACAAGCGATGAGAAGTTGCACGAGGTTCCCCACGACGACCTGCGTTTCTGAAGCTTTGAGGAACTACACGTCCAGTTCATTTTCTAACACTGAAAATAAATAGGGCTTTTCAGATAACAAGTTGATTAATTTAAATTAACGCTAGGAGTAAGAGCGGTTGTCTTCCCGACGACCACTCTAAGCACTTCAGAAAAACATTTGTTTGCGCAGATTTGATACGTTTTGAAATTACGTACCATAATAGCAAACGACAGACACACAAATTTGACGTTTTTTTCTTTCTGTAATCTAGCATTTCGCTGTAATCATCGACAGCAAAGATGAGTAGTAAAAACATACCTAAAAGAGCATAAAACTTAGAGGCAGAGTTTTCAACTATGTCAGCGATAAATGTTTATCTGGCAACTATATATTTCGTATAAACCACTGAATAAAAAAGTGACGGGACGTTTTGTTTGCTCCACTAGCTCATTTTTCTTTGTTTATTTTAATATCTTGTAGTCTTCCCGGTCTGGGATGTCTGAGAGATGTTTAATTTTCCTAGCGTTCAGCTTCACAAAATGCTTGATTATCCTTACCTGTGACGGACAACAAACGTGCATGTTTGGAGTATGTACGGTCTGTCAAATTATGTTAAGGTATTCCCCAGCAATTAGCATTGGGAACAGACTAACAATTTCTAATAAATTGCTGAGTAACATGCACCAAGAACGTACGAGGAACTGCACAACTGGCCAACTCAATTCTACGGATCATAATATTTGCAGAAAAACAGCGCAGGGCACCATGTTATCGGGAATATTGTGATCAGATGTGAAGTTGTGATGAGGTGTGCTAAACAGCCAGCCACATTCTTGGGTCAAGCGGGTAATTGCCGAAGTGTAATTTATTAAATTATTAAAAAAAACATCTAATTTTGAGAAGTTTTTGACAGCCACGAACCTTTCGACCGCCACCAGTGCGCTTTTACAGAAATGTGCTTCTTGCCAGGTATAAGAGGAAAAATACTGTTTTCAATAAGTACCTTAGGAACTCTCTTGACTTGAAAGCAGCTGCTCGGACATTCTTCACATTTCCCATGTGATGTGCCAAAAATCTTCTAATGTCTTTGATATCATGCTGAAGCTTAAAATAAGTTGCCGCTTGCATATCTTCAATGCCTGTAAAAATAAATGCACAAACTCAAATGCATACTTATGAAGTCTTAAAGTCAGATATGTGAACAAAAGTATGAAACAAACAGGATATTTTTTGCATAAAAATAATCAAGCTTGCCATGTACACAACCTGTGACACACGACTCAAACTGTCCTTGCATGCATTGATTGCGCAGGTAATAAAGTGTCAATGTTCCAGTATATCCGGTTATTTTTTTTAAACATTTCCTGCCGATCTGGGCATGGTGTCAACAGGAAATTGTTTGTTATTCGCATGCGTTATACCTCTCTGGTAGGCGCCAATCTTTTTTTTTTTTAGAAGACAGTCGCAATTTTCTTCAGATTTTTCTGACATATAATTGGCGGCTCTTGCACCTCGAGTAGTAAGCACAATTTGTTATTACTAAGTAAGAACAACTAGTAAGAACATTTTGTTCTTGGTACTAAAAATACACCCTGGCAAAGTATTGGCCCTCAGATTTGTTTAGTTTATTTATGATGCGGTTTGGTCTTTTCGCAAACACTTCGTGTCGCTGCTATTTGCAAAAGTAAAACTCTCGAAATTTCAACTTTCTTGACTTTGGGATATTTCATGTATTATCTTGAGTTAAGGTATGGCGCTGATACAAAACATTTTTTATGGAAATACATATCCGATATTTGAAAATCCTGTTTTGACTGCAATTTCTCAGCTAACAGATATAAACCGAACTTTTACCTTCTTACTTGCTAACATTGTTGAATCAAAGGAAGTCTTGTTTGTCATAGCGTTCACAATTTCGTTACCATTCCTGAAAAAAAAATTGGATTGGACAGGATAAAAATAAAATTTTGGTTACCGGCACTGTACGCTCCAAATTTCCTGTGCTCTAGCCTCTGAGAAAAATGTAAGTACATACCACACATGACTGGAACCTCCGTGATTCAAGAGTACGCTTCAAGTTCATCTTAACACTTTTACACTATTTGTCTGACATTAGTGATACAGCGATGAATTGGCTTAACGTCGTAATTGTAGTTGATTAATATTAGTGTGACTGTCGGATTATTTTCAACTTTTTTGTGTAATCCGCAAGGGGCACAGAACTGGATTCTAAGATCGTCTATTTATGGTGATAATTCAGCCTACGGACTCTAAGCATCATAAAATTCTCGAAATTACACTTATGAGTGGCCGGCTTCTGCATCAAAAATCTAATCAAAGATCGTGACACGCCCCTTTTTTTTGCGCTTCGGAACAGACATTAGCGAGCGCCGTCGGACGGCGTTTTTCAAAAATGAATTTCTGTATTGCGTCTCCTACACCCAAAGATCTCTCGTAAATATAATGCAAACAGCGCCTAAAAAGAGCAGTAATAGTGACGTTCGGAATTTCCACGCAAGTTACTATTTTCATTGGTCAAATTTTGAGAAGGTAATAGAGACCCGAGATTGACCCCTCCCCCCTCTCTTCACCCGAATAAAAATGGTGTCCGTGCATTTCTATTTCTGTGATTTTATTAGAGCGTCTTGGCATTTAGAACTGATAATTTTTATTGAGTAAATCCCAGCGAACAACATGACATTAAAAATCAGGCCTCTACAAAAATCACTTGAGTGCACCTTTAGGCCTACCTTCTCGAGGTTCTAGATCAAACAGGCAATGGCGCTGTACATATAATTTTTTTTGTAATAAATTTGTGAATATCTTTTCGGTTATGAAGACGTTATTCATAACACAACATAACAACAAGAAGACATCGTTTATAACATTTTCTCGGGCAAACTGCGTTTTCTTTTAAGGGTTACGCTCCTGCGAGATTATTTTTGTCTGTTATACTGGTCCGACTCGCATCGAAGTGCGGTTATCAAGAACGGGTGTTTTCTCATCGGGGAAAACGTATTTTCATTACATGATCGAGGCCATTATGTTAATTTTCATATTCGCATCCTGGATATGTCTTCGTGCTTAAAAGGACACTGAATCGAAACTTCAAATATACCTCTCATGTTCAGAAATCAGTTACACATAATCAACTCTATCTGCTAATCCTGACGATGACACGCTTGTACTTTTGAACAGATCGCTAAACGTTTCGTTCCAAAGGACAAATTCCAGCGAGCGCTCCAAGATCAGCCATCGTAGAGCGCGATGCATCACGGGAGACGTGACGTCAACTGTCCCAGCACGGGCAAAGCTGCTTGGGAGCTAGCGTGGTTATGAGCTCCGCGTAGGTGCCATTCCCTCTCTCCGCAAGAGGTGAATAGACTGGGAGAGAATGGAAATCCGGTTCA